AGTGAAAAATGGAATTCANCGGGTCCCATTAGTCGGATAAAATATTTTTTTGACCGAGTGTGTTCTACTCTTTGAGTAGATTAATGTTATGTATTTATTTTCTTAAATCCAATTTAGGGTGAATGAGAAACTAATGTCAAAAAATGACAATTTGAAGTTGAAATAAATTGAGAATAAAATTGGTGAAAAATTGAAAAAATGACAATTCCACATTGGAAAACTTGAATAATAGAATTCATTTTATATTTACGCAAATTTGGGATATGGATTTGGGCCACAATGGGTACCAATAATATATTTATTTATATTTTCCCAAATTTTCTGTACGCGACATGTGACGTCTTCTAGAAACTAGCGATTGACAGTTAAACTGTTGTCCAAACAGGTTCTGCTGTTGTATCTTTTGGGCACAACTTTTCAACTTCTATATAAAGATCCCCATACCTCATATTTTATTCATTCCAAAAAAATTTCCTGATTTTCTCTCTTGCAAAATATAATCCTTCTATCATGCATTATTCCATATTGTGCATTTTAGTCCCAAATATTTTTTCAACACCAAAATGATTTGATNNACCAAAATGATTTGATAATAAATGATATAAGAAATCAATGTAATTTTGCTCAAAAAAATCTCACTCGTATGCTCTTAAGTTATTACAATAAATGGCAAGTGAGTTGGTATTTATAGCAGTTGAAACGTCCAAAGTTTCTGCCCAATCGGACGTCCGCCACTGTACCGGACGACTAAATCAGCCATTGAGCGTCGGAATTTGGAACGGTTAAAAATTTGATCATTGGGCGTTCGCCAGAGCATAAATCTTTAGTTTACTCTTTTCTTGATTATTTTTGCAAGTGTAAATCCTTTAGGGATATTTTCACTTAACTTTTTCAAAATAAGTGTCATTGGTAAAGAATTCAAAAGTCAAGTGAAGATTTTTGTTACATCAAAAATAATTTTTATGTGAGTGCTTTTGTGAAAATTTTATTTCGTGCATAAAAAATTTAACTTACGAGATTGAAGTGATTCATTGTTAAGACTTAAAGCTTTTTACCTTTACATATGTATTCAAATCATCTAAGTCTAATGTTTTCGATTGATTTGGCGCGAGTACACGTTTTGTTGCTCGATCTTGAATTTGACCCGAATGCTTGATTTGTCTCCGATTGTTTTGACACGAGTGCTCGATTTACAAGCTTGATTGTGAATGCTCGATTTCCATTAGGTTCGCAACATATAACAATGAAAACTCGAATATAAATGATAGAGATAAGAATAATTTGTTTGTTATAATCAAAACTCGAAATTAACCATAAGTTAACATGGTCTTGTATTTTGAAGTGTTATTATTACAAGTCGAGGTCGTTTTATTCCATTCATTTTGAAAAAAGTTGGTATTGTGCCCAGCCATTTATTCACCGCAAGATTATTTTAAATTATAGCACGGTAAAATCATTACTTGCCAATATTTTTTACTTCACGTTCACAAACTTTTAGAATGAAAATTATAATCGAAAACTAAATGTGAAAATTAAAGAATGTTGGGGGCAAGAATGCGTAGTGTTACAATGAAGAAAAATTGACAACGTTAAGTGAGATGAAAATGCAATGCACAATTATTGTAAATAGAAATGCTTTTCATTTATGTGGTATTGATCTCCAATAAATAGTGGTTAAGTTTAAAGTTTACCTCTAATATATATTTAATGTATATTTAAAAGTAATAAACAAGAGAAGAAAAATAACTATGTGGTTTGATTGCTCTGTGTGGATATAATACTGTAATTAAGAGCTTTATCGTCATCACTGTAGGGATTAGAACATGGTATTGAACACTTAGGGTCCGTTTGATTGGAAGAGTGAAATTTTGGTGGAAAGAAAATGAATTTTAGAGAATTGAATTGTCTAGAATTGTTTTTTTAAAAATTGTCAATTAATTGTGTTTGATTAATATAATTTTTCACCTGAAAAATATTGAATCGTCTAGAATTGTTTTCTTGAAAAATATCAAATTGATTTTGGAAAAATTTGGCCAAACAAGCCTCAGTTTCTTTTACTTTCAAGTAAAAGAGTTAGGTGCCGTTCTCTTTGTGTTTCAGTTTTTTGTTTTGAATTTTGAATTCGTTTTGTGTTTTGTGTTTTGAGTGTCTGTTTTGAAATTTCTGAAAATGCGTTCTCTTTCCCATTCTGAAAAACTGTTTCCGAAAACATAAAAATGGAAAACGCGTTTACTTTGAAATTTTGAGAATT